ATACAATTCTCACGTTTTAGTTCTTCTGTTCTCTTTCTATCCATTTTGGCATGTTCCCTATTTTTATTTGTCTTCCTTCTCAAGTTTTATATGTATATGTAGTTTAAATACTGTTTTGTTCTATATCGTTGAAAATTTAATATGAATTGTTGGTGCTTCTAGTAAAGTAACTGCTTAGAATAATGCGAGTATACACGAGATATATATACAAAGTGTTCCGCTACACCTGGAAAAAAATTACGGAACGGTCCGTAACGGTTGAGATCGCCTTTGTTTCCGGTTGGTTAAAGGCGTAAAATTCCAGAAATGTGTTTGATGTCGTTTTATTTAATGTTTAGTTCGAGCGGGTGTCGTTCTAGGTGTATTGTTTTAGACTATCTGTCGACTATATTAGTTTTGGCACCTTGCTTCCGAGCAATCAATGGTCAGGAAAAGGGGCCTGGAGTCAAGCGTCGCTTCATGGGTTTTTCCCGACTTCACCCCCTTCCTACCTGTGGCGGTTGCTTGGCGTTTTTGGTTTATAATTATAAAGGTGTTTGGTAATGATAATAATAATATCTAATAATAATGTTAATAAGTATTGTTTAGTCGGAAAAAAAGAATAAACCTAAGGGAATCCTGTAGCCGGATTTATGGCTTCAAAAGTGGTTACGTCCAGGCAAGTATTTTGTTTTTAACGGACAAAGGTGTCCTTTTTCGCGCTGCGTGCGACACTCGGCCACTAGGACTCGAGAGGCCATAAATCCTGGAGTCTCCAAGAGTTCAAGGGACAAGTGGGCCTCAATATTTCGTGACTGGGCCCACTTCACGCGAGAAAGTCTCGACTTCGCGGAGACTCCACAGGATTCCCAAACATTCCATCGCCGAACACCTCTTCGGTCGTTGTGCATTTCTTCCCTAAAATAGCGCGTTTAGGGCGCAACGGGAAGGGGGTGTCAATGCATCGGAGAAAAACTGATTGGTGGAAAATCGTTTTGGAGATCACCAATCAGGGTGATTCGGCGAGGAACGCAGCTTTCGTGGAGACGGACCACGAAGGCTTGCGACAGTTCAAGATAGAAGGCCACAAGACACAGTTCAAATTAGAAGTCTCAACAAGAGACAGCTGCAATAGAAGTCTCACCAAGAGACCAGTATCGAACTCTAATTATTGAAATTAGAAAAAAATGTATAAAAATGTTAATAATAATATCTAATAATAATAATGTTAATAATAATATTATAATAGTATCTAATAACAATGTGTGGGGGAAAGGCAGTGGGTTCATAACAGGGGGTGATTTTAGAAGCCGATATAAAAAGAAAATCAAGAATAAAAAAATTGTATTTGAAACTTCGTGTTTTAGTTATTAACGGTTAAAAATATCCCTGTAGCCGAGCAAATCTCCGTACACCAACAAATATAGATCACGTAAAGACATGAGGGGTACAGTGATCCTCAAAATCAATGACACATGAGCGGCACTTTATCTCGTACAAAGGTTGATTTATACTACCTATTCAGATACTTTAGGATGTCTGCATGATTTCAATATTCTTCTAGGAAAAATACAAAATCCTGAGAATTCAAGAGAAAAACTAGTATTATGAAGAAAATATAAACGTATAGTAATCTGATTATTTCTTTGCAACAAACTGAACAGAAAAATCTGTATAATAATGTGACATGGTAACTGTACTTGTTGTTTGTTGCGGATTGAGTAGTTGTGTAGATGACTGCAAGCCAGACACTGTGTGTGAACATAATGCATACCATACGATAGTATCCGTTCATACACGATCTGGCAGCTTCAGACACGGCGAAACATTCTTGTAGAGAATGCCAGACGGCATCTGTCCGAAACGTTAAATGTCTTAAATGATACAGTCGCATCTTATTATATACAATAATCTTTGCCAAAACGAGCCTGTGCCGTAACTATTCCGTGCCTGAGCGGATAATATAAATCGATCCTCGACCTCAAGATATAGAAAAGAAGACTGTAACATTCGGCGCTGCAACCCACAAGTACCGACTTCTGCTGCACTACAGTTTGCTTCACCATGACACAGGTGCATGTCGGAAAGTTCTTCAAATGTGTATTCCATTGTGAACTACACACGCAACAAACACAATCCACGTGAGGTGGGTGAGGAACGTCGTTACGCTGTTTTCACCTCAATTTATTAAAGTATAAGTGTATGGTCGGCGTACAATTGGTCCAGAAAATACAATCGTTT